GGCGCGGCGGGGGCGAGCGGCTGGGGGCGGCCGAGGGCGCGGGGCGCGCGGCTGCCGAAGTCGCCGGCAGCCTCGGAGATTTGACTTCGCTCTCTCCTCCCGCCCCCCCTGCCGGTCACGGTACAAATTCTCCGGATCGTCTGGGTTAGGCTCCGGTTCTGTAGGATGTGCAAACGGTTTCCACTGACCCGGCGGGGAGGCCAAAAATGAAAAGAGAGGGTGGTCCACAAGCGAAGAACGGGGTGCGTTTAGAGGTAGATTTTCCTTCCTTACGGTTTAGGTAGGTGTCTCGGGTCGGCGGTGAGAGCGTCCGGGCGCGGAGGTGGACGGGCGGGGGGCGCGGCGGCCGGGCCCGGCGTGGAGGACTCCGCGCGGCTTCGGCTCGGGTTCTGTCCCTCCCGCCGCGGAAGCTGGAAGACAAGTGGCGAGGACGGCTCGCCACCTCTCTGCTCCCTTCCCCCGCGGGCCGGGGGTCGGCGCCCGGCTGGGGAGGGGGCGGGCCGGACGCCTGCGATTGGCCGCGGCCGCACCTGGGGCGCCGGGCGCCGCCGCCCCCCAGCTGTTGGAAACAGCTGCTTCTCTCCCCGCGCGGCGCGGCGCTGGGCGGCCGGCTCGGGCTCTGGAGCCGGCGCTGGGGTAGGGCTGGGGCTGGCTGCAGGCGGCCTGGCCCTCGGCGTCGCCTGCCCTAACCCGTCAAAGTCCAAGGGACTCAGTGTGCGGCCCCAGCCGGGACCTGGGGCGCGGGGACTGCGCCCGAGGAGGGAGCTGCGTCGCTTTCCAAAACGGCGACGCGAGCTCTTTGCGCTCCGCCACAGTGACAAGGCCGGCGACCCGGACTGAAGAGCTGGGGGCCCGGAGGCCTGGGGGCGGTTCGCTGGGGCCAGTTGCCTCCGGGGCGCGGAGGACCGACGAGTTCGGCCAATGGTACCAGCGTGGGATACTCCCCGGTCTCGAGAGGGAGGCCCCCAACCTTCCTTGACCCCAAGGAGCCAGTGCTGGGGACAACCAGCGCGGGAGAGCCAGGAGGAAGGAAAAAAAAAAAAAAAAGGTCTGACCCTCGGGTGTGCTGGGGAGAACCATTAGCTTTCATTGCTCAACGCCCAGCCAAGCTAAGCAATCGTAGACACCTGTCTGTCAGGCACCGCCTTATATTTCAGAGGGCCATAAATTAGTACTTGACCTCACAGTTACCAAATTTGTGTTTCCACCCTAACTTACTCCTCCCGAACTATTTGGAAAAATTGGTAGAGATTTCTCATCATAAATCCTCTTGTTTTTTCTCCCTAGGCAAAGAATTAATCTATCTCCTGTTTGAATTGTAGGAACGTTAGGGACTCGACCTCAACTGTTTTATCAGGAATAATTGTAAAAGGTGTAATTTTGGAAATCGACTTGTTACATAACCACTGGTTTTGACCAGCAAACCTTTAAAGCATTTGTAGAAACTGCAGACTCTAGTGCCGCCCATATATATTTATTTTTATATATCAGCTTTTTGCAACTTCTTTTTTATCAAGAGTACATTCAATTAGGCTGTAAAATCATGGTCATATTTGAGGTTTGGATGAAGATATTTAATGTGAACAGGATGCTTCACCCACCACTGTTGGCATACAATTTGCTTTTAAGTCATTTCCACCCGGCCTGTCCGCTGAAGTCCACAGAATAATTGCCCCAGGCCACAACATTTATTCCCTTTAAAGCAGTTCAGTATGTTAACCTATTAGAGGGGCACATACTTCTGTTTCTCTTTCCAGGGCACCATTGCAGTCAGCCCGAAAGGATGAGATATTTTGCATTTGCAAAAGTTAATGGGAATGCAAATATTCTTGTACAAAATGTTAAATTCAGTTTTTCCTCCTGCTGACTTCTGCATGAGGTTGGCCTTTTGAGGTCATCAGTTTCTTTAAGTTTGAACTCCCAGTGGCAGATATGGAGAAATAAGAAATCTAAACTTTTTTTGGAAAATACTTTTAAAATCCAATTGAAGAAAACCATTTTGCAGACCTATGAGAGCCAGAAAGTGAAGCTGTAAACAACACCCTCTCCTCATTGCTTAAGTAAAAGTACAGGTTTAAGAGGAACTCTGTGTACTGGTCCTATGAAAGATGATTTTTAAAAATTAGAAAAACAAAGCAGGCCCTGAAACAGAGGAGGCGTGTTCTTTAATATTCAACATCCATTTTGCAGTGTCACTTAAGAATTACTGTACTTAGATGAGGCTCAGGAAAAACCTCTTTGTGAGGGGAAGCCACTTACAGAGAAGCCTTAAAGAGCAGAGTGACTTTGGCTGTCTCCCTTCTCTTCCTGCTTGGACAGGGAGCCCATCCAGAGGGGACGAGATAACATCAGGGAAGGAGGGTGCCAGCAGCTCAGATGCTCACTAGGTAAAATGGTGAGATCTACAAGGGAATTCTGATCCTAGTTTGGGATACCTGTGTCGTAGAGCTTGGCTTCTGGAAATAAGAGGCTTCCCTACCACAGTCCCAGAGAAAATAATGCAGCCACCCTTCCCCCACCCCCTGTAACCCCTACCTGGTGTGCTTTATTCTTTCAATCCAATAATAATTTGATAGCTTTGAGTCTTCCTTCATTTTGTACGAAATGGTACCTGGATATGCCTGATTTTGAATTCCAGGGTAATGAAAGCATTCCTAATAATCTGGTGGTGTGTGATTCACTGAAAACAGAGTTTAAGAGGAATGGAGATACCTTGTTTTCCAAATCAATTTAAATAGAAGCGGTAATACATACCCAGTTCTGGGTGACAAACCATCGAGCGCCCCCCACAGGCAGGTACTGTGCGAGGGTGAGGCATTACTGACACCCGGTTTGTTTCACATCTGCACCAAGGTGGGTGCAGTGACAACAGCCAGACCCATTCTTGGTGGATTTATGAACCTGAGCCATCAGACCGTGTAGCCGTGGGGGCATAAAATCTTTCTGAATTCAAAGTTTCAAGGTTATTAAGTACCAAATATTTCTGCATAATTACCCGCTACAAATTCAGGTTTGGAAAACAGCCTTCGGGTAATCCTTCTGCTTTCTCCGCTGCTTTTGGCAGAGAAGAACACTTGTATATTCACAGAGCTGGTGCAAGATGATGTGTGCTTCTTGGGAAAGAAAGAGCCATAAAATACTTTAAAAGTTATAAATAGGTTCCAAGCTCGTCATATCCAAATTCCTACATACGGGCGGCCTGGAATCCTGGGTTCCTACTCCATGGCAAGATCGATATTACTTTATTACTTACAATCAATTATTGTCCACTTTGTTCAAAGTCTTTATCCGCCTATTAAAGGCCAAAACCAAATGTACAAGTTTCACATTCATTTATTTAATTTCTTCCCCCCACCGCCACCCTCTTCCTCTTAAATTAATCACGGAAATCAACTCTAGGCCCAACGCTTATCAAGGATGTTGAGAAAAGATATATCAGGAAGGGAGGACAGTATCACCCCGATTCCAGAGGTGCCTGCTCTGCCCCAGAGATAGTGTGGCTCTGGTCAGTAAGTCCCCTCCAGGCAGGGTTGGCCTCTTAGATGTTGTGGGATCTCCTGCAGGTCCATTAAGTCCTCCTCAGGGTTCTACACATATGAACACTGAAGAAATATTTACTGAAGGAAAAAGAGAATTGCTCACTTAAAGATGTATACTTGTAAGCTTGATGAGAGAAAATACATTTTTAGAACTAACCCCTTGTAAAGTATTTAGTTTTGTTTGTTTGTTTGTTTTTTTAATTTGGAAAACAAAAGTATGGCTTCCATGAAGTCTTTTGTGGTTGTTTGGAAACATTTGCCTTCTTGTGAGAGTCTGTGTGAGCATTCTGATATAAAACCAACAGGTTTTCTGCCCTTTGGAGAAGTCCCATGATCAGATGTATTTCTGTTTCTCTGGGTGGGTTGGTAATTTTCTCCTAGTAACAGATAACAAATGTGTGTAATAGGTTAAGCTGCTATTTTAGTGTGCAGAAGAGTTGGCAGTCAGAAAGCTAGTCAGTTCAGCTCAGATCCACCTCTGGCAGAATTCTATTCATGCTGCATTAAACTACATCTAAGCTGGTAAGTAAAACGAAATGGAAATTTGTAACTGTTATTTAATCATGAAAATCATAATGCCTCTTTTACATCAAACATCCAGAAAATAGCAGAATAGGGTCACTTTGGAGGATGAGGGGGGTGAAACGGAAAGAGAGGGAGGGACAAGAAAGCTCACTGCCAACCTCGCCCTTCTGACAGTTTCCGTTCTGCCCTGTAGAAGTGGCTTAAGGGTACTCATACTTTAAATTCTGTTATATAAATCTGAAGGGGAAGGAAGAGAATGCAAATATTTTCAACCCACTATGTGTTTCTTTGCATTTTGAATTCAGGGTGTACTTTGGTTTCAAGTCTTTAAACAGTGAGCGTTGGAGCTGCCAAGTTATTTTAAGGAGCTGATGGTCTCTCCAAATGTATTGAATGACTTTCTCCTGATGACAGATTCATTCTAATGATGTTGCTGGGAGGCAGAGGACACAGTGTGGTGGAAATAACCCTGGATCCCAAGACAGGAGACCGAGGGCCCGGTCCAAGCAGTCTTAACCAGCTCCAAAGCCTTGTTTGGCTTACTCCATTAAAAAGTACGAATGGGGTTAGAAGAACTTAATGACTGTCCTCTCTGAACAGGCCCACCGTAGACTGGAGGATGCTAGTCTGACCCTTTATTGACAGATGGTTAGAAGTCACCATGGATTTCTGAGACAGCCCAATGTTGGCACTCAAGTGTTATTTAGTTATTTTTTTAATGTAAGCTACTTGAGATTATTTCGTAAGATTGATATTTTCTCTACTAACAAAGGAAAGGCATCTTTATGACAGAAAATTAGGACAAAGCATAAAGACGTACAAAGAAGAAAATCAAGATTACCCACAGTTCTACTCAGAATAACGTAATATTTTTGAGTATCTAATATTGAGTGTTTCTTGCACATAAATATTCACTTGTAAGTGTACAAACGAGTCATCCTCTGCACTGTTTTACTATCAGCTTTTTTCACCTAGTGAATATTTTTTCCTTGTCATTAGTTGCTACAGTTCATTTTCAATGCCTAAAGAGCATTTTGTCATGTCAGTGCCCCCAGATTGATTTAAGCAATCCCCTTTTGTTGGGCTTTTTTATTGTTTCCAATTGTTCCCTATTATGAACAACTCTGAAATTAATTAATTAATTAATTAATTCCTTACAGATAAATCTTTTTACATATTCTTGATTACTTCTGAAGGCTGGTTCCATAAGGGACTTTGCTTTGTCCATGGCTGAACCCCCTGACTCCTAGAACAAGACTAAAGAAGTGCTTAAATATTTGTTGAATGAATGAATACATTCTTACAATTTATTAGGTTGAAGGTTATGCCCGTATTTAGATCTTTTGATACATATTGCCAAATTGCCCTTCAAAAAGTAGTAGAGATTTTACTTCTACCGGGAGCATATTAATGTCAGGTTTCCAGAATCCTCATTGACATTGCTGTATAAGATAGAATAATTTTGTTTGCAAGTAAAAAAAATCCTAACTCACGTTGACTCAAGTAATAAAAAAGGAACTTTTTGTCCCTATAGTTGAAAAGTCCAGAGGCAGGGCAGGCTTCAGGTGTGCTTTGACCCCAAGGATCATGTAGTCACCAAGACTGTGACAGCATTGACTAAGAAACTCCTGCCTTCGCCCTCCTCTGCTGGTTGGCTTTGCTCTTTAGCCGATGCCTTCAAGGTAGCAAGTTCACTGCCAGCAGCCACCAGGGCCATGAGCCTCCTTGGTCACATGAAGGGGAAAACAGGACTTCTTTTTGCCCGATTATCAGACCAAAGTCCAATCTTCCTTTTGGTTGTGTCATCTTAGGTTGCAAGCTCGCCTTTGAACCAATCTTAGAGACCAAGGAATGTGACTTGCTGATTTTCTTGGGTTAGGGTTCCATTCTGTTTTCCCATCATGGGGCACACCCCTAAGGCACAAGGATAGATGACATTGATTTGCTCAGACCCATGATGGCCCAGAACTAAGGAGCCCTGCCGAACCCCATGGTTGTGAGATTCTGGGTTCTTTTGGGAAGAAGAAATCATAGAGTAAATGCTTTGGAAACAATAGCAAAACAACACTGAATATTAGCATTTAATTTTGAAAATATATGCTTTTTCTGAGATAAAAATATTTTCTTGTCACTAAATTTTTTTCTATGTGTCTGTGGACCATTTGTTTTTGAGAACTATCTTTTTTTTTTAAATAGGGTTTTTGTCTTTTTTCCTTCAATTTTTAAGAACACAAAGAGCTGTTCTGACAGATCCATTCCATGTAATTCAGATCTTCCAGTCCAATCCCTCATTCTGGAGTTAAGAAAGCTGAGGTCTAGAAGGAAATGGCTTCCAAAAGTTCACATATTTAGCAAAGGACTCAACGGGGATTCAGATGAACTCTATTTTACCTTTGAGAAAAATTTGTTAAATTAAGAAATAACTTAGGTATACTCAATTGCTCAAATCTAAACATACACATTATGTACCACATGTAACCATGACCTAGATCAAGATGCAGAACATTTTTATCAACTCAAGAGTTTCCCATCCCTTTCCCAATCAGTGACCACCCCCTTACACACACAAACACACACACACACACACACACACACACAATAATAACTACAATTCTTACTTCTGTTACTAAGGTTTAACTTTGCTTATTCTGGACTTTCACAAAAATGAAAATATAGGGTATATATTTAGTCTTTTGTGATTGACTTCTTTTGCTCAATTCACAGTCACATTTGGAGATGTTAACGCTTCTTTCTCAGTAATTAAAGGAAGCAAGATTAAGCTTGCAAGAACTTAGAAGTGGAAAGTTAGCATGATGAGCTACAGCCTCCACAGCTCCAGAGGGTCTCAGGGTACATCAAATCCTTATCTTCACCTTCTACACTGATCTAGATTCCACTCAGTCCCAGCTATCATGCTGCCGTCTTGGTGGTTTGCTTAGAGCTCTCCAGAGAAACAGAACCAGTAGGATACATAAAAAATTATATACATATGGAGAGAGAGAAAGAGAGGTTGACATTTAAGGAATTGGCTGGTGCAAGTCTGAAATCTGTAGGGCAGGCCAGCAGGCTGGAAACTCAGGCAGGACTTCTGGCTTACCGTGTTGAAGCAGAATTCCTTCTTCTCCAGGAAACCTCGGGTTTCGCTCTTAAAACTTTTCAACTGATTGGAGGAGGTCCTCTCATATTATTGAGAATAATCTCCTTTACTTAAAGTCAACTGATTGTAAATGTTTAAGCACATCAACAAAATATCTTCACAGCAACATTGAGACCATTGAGCTTAGTCAAGTTGACACATAAAATTAACCATCACAATGTATGATCAAAGCCTTCACCCCTAGGGGTTGAGCCCCCATCACCATGCCCCTCTCATGATGTGGCTGCTGCACTTGTCCATCTGTTGTCAAAATAGGGCAGGGGAGAATCAAGAGGAATCCAGATGGATCACGCGAGTACCAAACTTACTGCCTCTGTATTACAAAGCAGCTTTTTTCCCCTCCTGATGGCTGTGGTCAATTACCCACGTCAGGAGGGTTACTCCTCTTCTTGTCTGCTCGTCCCTGGACATAAGGAGTCTGAAGTGCCCAGGTGGCAACTGTGGCTTGTATAGTTCTATGTGACTTGTATTTCCTGGCTTAGGAGTTGTTTTTTTGGAAGCAGGACCTCTATACTCACAGAGCTGAGAGTTACAGGGGCAGGAAGCACAGACTTGCCAGAGAGTCTCTGGGGGTGATGGTAAGCAGGGCTACTCTTTTTTTTTTTTTAATATTGTTGTTGTACAATGTTATGTTAGTTTCTGGTATACAGCATAGTGATTCAGTTATACATTTATGTATTTTTCATTATAGGTTATTACAAGCTATTGAATAGAGTTCCCTGTGCTATACAGTAGGTCCTTGTTGCTTATCTTCTTTGTATATAGTAGTTTGTATCAGCTAATCCCAAACTCCTCATTTATCCTTCCCCTACTTTTCCCTTCGGTAACCGTAGTTTGTTTTCTATGCCTGTGAATCTGTTACTGTTTTGCAAATAACTTCATTTCTGCCATTTTTTTTAGGTTCCACATATAAGTGATATCATATAACATTTGTCTTTCTCTGTCTTACTTCACTTAGTATGATAATCTCCAGGTTCATCCATGTTGCTGCAAATGGCATTATTCCATTCTTTTTTATGGCATTGTATAGATATATGCACCACAACTTCTTTATCCAATCATCTGTCAGTGGACATTTAGGTTGCTTCCATGTCTTGGCATTGTAAATAGTGCTGCTATGAATACTGGGGTGCACGTATCTTTTCAAATTAGAGTTTTTGCTTTTTCCAGATATATGCCCAGGAGTGGGATTGCTGGATCTTATGGTAACCCTATTTTTAGTTTTCTAAGGAACGTCTATACTGTTTTCCATAACGGCTGCACCAAACTACATTCCCATCAACAGTGTAGGAAGGTTCCGTTTTCTCCACACCCTCTCCAGCATTTATCATTTGTGGACTTTTTAATGATGGTCTTTCTGGCTGGTGTGGGGTGATACCTCATTGTAGTTTTGATTTGCACTTCTCTGGTAATTATCAATATTGACCATCTGTGTTTCTTCATTGGAGAAACGTCTGTTTAGGTCTTCTGCTCATTTTTTGATTGGGTTGATTTTTGTTGTTGTTATTGAGTTGTATGTGCTGTTTGTATATTCTGGAATTTAAACCCTTGCCAGTCACATCATTTGCAAATATTTTTTTCCCAGTCCGTAGGTTATCTTTTTATTTTGTTTATGGTTTCCTTTGCTGTGCAAAAGCTTGTAAGTTTAATTAGGTCCTACTTGTTTATCTTTGCATTTATTTCTATTGCTTTGGTAAACTGCCTTAGGAAAACATTGCTAAGATTTATGTCAGAAAATGTTTTGCCTGTGTTCTCTTCTAAGGTGTTTATGGTGTCCTGTCTTATGTTTGCGTCTTCAAGCCATTTTGAGTTTATTTTTGCGTATGGTGTGAGGGCGTGTTCTAACTTCATTGATTTACACGCAGCTGTCCAGCTTTCCCAACATGACTTGCTGAAGAGACTGTCTTTTCTCCATTGTATATTCTTGCCTCCTTTGTGGAAGATCAATTGACAACAGATGTGTGGGAATAAATATCTTCTTCATGCTAAATTTTTGCCTTAAGCAAAAGACAAAGCAATGATCAATTTTAATGATCAGATTTTGAAATACAGAAGCAATAAAAAAAAAGTCAAGGGTCCCTCAAAGTCAGCTTCCACATCTGCATCCTTACCCATCAATTTCTGGGCAACTTGTATAAAATTGTTTAAACTATCTCAATGTTTAGCCTAGAACATATTTGTATTAATGACAGTGCTCAAAAGCAGTGTAAATGAACTAAAATCAACGTAAAGAGATAAAATTACAATACAAATATGTCTTTCAAGAGATCCGTTAGCTTAAAGTGTAAATCTTCACTGCCTCAGAATTCTTTCTCCTTTCTTCATAGATATGTAGATTTGTTTTCTGCAAATGTGGTTCTTGACCTCTAAGCACAGAAGTTTTATGCTTACTGTTATAAGCACTTGCAACCTTTGCTTCGGTGGACATATGTGAGTTTTTAATAAGAACATGGGAAGGAGGAGCCAGAAGGGTTGGGCAAAGCCACATACATCCTCCTGTTCTGTCTACGCGGGACAGGGAAGGGACAGGAAAGTGGGGATATATCTGTTTCTAGACATGTGTTTTTGTTTTTCCAGAGGAACATAGTGCTTTACAATGGCTTGGCTTTCTCTTTCTAGGTGAAACTTTCTGGGCCTGAAAACATCATTTCAGATGTTTTCTCTGACATCTGAATATTGATCTTTCCTCACCCAGCAATATTTCTGCATCATCACTGGTCTAAGTCCTCGTTGTGAGAGGAAACTCAAGACATTTGGAGCCTAGAAGGGAGAAATGGAAGAGATGGCATAGTGACCAGGTGATGGAGTGCAGGAGTGCCAATTAAGGAAGGCATGAAGTCTGTCTTTATACTCGTATCAGGCTCTGCCCCAGAGACTAGTGCCAGTGAACTTGCTAAAAAACACAGCGAAGAGTCAAACACTGAGGATTTCTGTCACATTCTGGCAGTGATTCTGAGGGGATCTTGTGCAAATAAACCTTGCTGTACTATGTTTTAAATCACAAACAATGAAAATAAAGATAACAATTAAAATGCATGTATATATGTGTAATTATGGTTAAGATATCTCTGTTTACAAAGCAAAGCAATTCATCTAATTATACCCACAAGAACACAGTGCAACAGCCCAAACAATTTATAAAAATAATTTATTTTGGCTTATCTATTCTGTTTCTATTTATATCACCCTGCATGAAAGTACTCAGCCCCATTTGTATATGGAACTATGTCATTTTCAACTTGTACTGAGAATCTATCTCAATATAGGATATCACAATTAAAGCAGCTTTCTTTGAACTTAGAAGGACAATTCAAAAGATAAGTCATTGATGTAAAAGTTACTTAAGGAACTCATTGCACAGTTGGTTATTTTTCAAATCCCAGGAAGATGTTTATAAAATATTTTCCCTCATAGTTTTAAAAACAGATTTTTTTTCTAATCATATTTTTCTTCCAATTTCAACTTACCTTTTCTTTTTCTTGCATACTTATGGGTGAAAAGCTGTCACTATTTTTTTCTTAGAAAAAAAGAGCAACAAGTAACTTTACATGAAAAAAGCAAACAAACATTTTATTAGGATGCCTTGTACTTTATAATAAATATAGTACTATGTATCACAATAAATTAGCCTAGATCCAAAAAGTGTGTATATATATATATACACATATATATAGGCATTAAATATTTACCTTTTCTTGAAAATATGCTTCTTTGTGTATATATACATATATATATATACACACACACATACATATATTTTTTCCCCTGTTATATTAGGTGTCATTACCTTAGCCATGTTGGTAAGTTTGGGAAGAATAAAATATTTGTGATAGGCAAATATTGCAGGGTTGGAGATTTTTTTTTTAATGTTAGAAAACCGAAATCCACCTCTATTTTCCTGGAACTATCCTGGATGCTCTCTATCACAAAGCTCTCTAAATACCAAAATACAGTAGTTAAAGATTTCCAGAATTCTCTTCAAATCCTTGATCCATAGACAAGATGGGTTAAAAAGATGAATTGCTCTATTTTATTTCTTATTGCTGTAAGGTAGAGAAGAAATTTTCTGAAAAGTGATTGGTGTGTATGATGTAAAGCTGGATCCCAAATTCTCTGCCACTTTTTTATTAATATTAATTAGGCTATCCCTGAGAAAGCCCACAAGTTGGACTTACTAGACAAAGACTTCAAATCAGGAATTATAAATACATATAAAGAACTAAAAGAAGTCATATCTTAAAAAATAATGAAGGAAAATGCTAGAATGATGTGTCACCAAATAGAGATTATCAATAAAAAGATAGAAATTATTAAAAAGCATCAATTAGAAATCCTGGGTTTGAAAAGTACAGCTGAAATGAAAATTTTTCTAAGGGGCTCAGCAGCAGATCTGAGCTGTCAGAAGAAAGAATCAGTGAACTTGGGGACAGAATTGAGATTATCCAGTCTGGGAAACTGAGAAGGAATAGTGAAATGGGAAAAATGAACATAGACTCAGAGACCCGTGGACATCACAAATTTACAAATAAATTTGTAATGGGAGTCCCAGAAGGAAGAGAGAAAGAAAAGAACAGAAAGAATATTTAAAAAAGATAATGGTTGAAACTTCCTAAATTTGATGAAAAATAATCTACACATCACAGTAGCTCAGTAAAGTCCAAGTAGGAAAACTCAATGAGACCCACACCTACACACATTTTATAGTCAAATTGTCAAAAGCCAAAACCAATTGCAGTACAGTACAAATACAATACAAAATCAATTGTGTCTCTGTGCACTTGCAATGAACAATCCAAAAATAAAATTAAGAAAACAATTCCATTTTCAGTAGTGTTAAAAATAAAATACTCATGAATACATTTAACAAAACAAAAACAAGAGTTGTAAATTGAAAACTACAAAGCATCATTGAAGGAAATTAGAGGAGACTTACTAAATGGGAAGACATCCTATGTTCATGAATTAGAAGACTTAACATTAAAATTGCAACTTTTGAAACCAATCTTAAAGATTCAATGCATCACTTTCAAAATCCCAGATACTTTTCTTTGCAGAAATTGGCAAACTGATTCTAAAATTCACATAGAATTACAAAAGACCCAGAATAGCCAAAACAATCTTGAAAAAGAAAACAAATTAGGAGGGCTCAGAATTCCTGATTTCAAAACTTAGGACAATACTGTAGTAATCAAGACAGGGTGGTGCTAGCATAAAGTGAGATATATAGATCCATAGAATAAAAAAAACCAGAGTCCAGAAGTAAGACCATACATTTATAGTCAACTGATTTTCACAAGTGTGCCAAAAAATTTTGTGGGAAACTAAATGGGAAAAGAAATCTTTTCAACAAAAGTGCTGAGAAAGTTATATATCCACATGCAAAAACAAAAGTTGGATTTTAATCTCATACATATGCAAAAATTAATTGAAATTTGATCAGAGCCCTAAGTATAGAGGTAAAAATATGAAACTCTTAGAAGAAAACTTAGAAGTAAATCTTCATAATCTTGCATTAGGCTGTAGTAGATCAATCTCAGTCCACAAACTCTGGCGTACAAGAAATATAACTTAAAGTATAGCATACGTGTTAAGGTCACAGATGGTGCTGCCAGACTGCCTGGGTTCCAGCCCTACCTCTGTGTCTTACTGGCTGAGATTAAAACATTTGTTAATAATTCTTAAATATTACCCTGCTACAAAGAAGATCAAAAATACAAATGCCAAAAATATTTTGAGCATTGGTAGCATTACTGGGATAAGTGAATAGCTTATTAAGGTGATTACTGTGTTTATTATCACACGTAACTTCTAGTATGTTTGTAAAAATAGTCTCTTTACTTTCTGGCCATAGTTTTATGTAGAATCACAGACTTTAAGAGATGGAGTGGAATTTACAAATGTTATTATAAAGGTGAAACATCTGACACTGGTGTGATGTGACTTGACATCTTTTTAAAGATCACTCTGGAGGGTGTAGCATGATAAGTATAAAAGCAGGGAGGCTATTAGGAGGTGATCGTAATTATCAAGGTGACAGGTGAAGGGATGATGGTGGTGGCAGGAGAAGCGGGGGGAAATGGTGAAATTCCAGAGAGAGACTGAAAGTTGAACCAATGAGATTTCCTAAAGATTGACCATGATAGGCAGCAGGACTTACGGGTGATAGCAAAGATTTTACCCTAAACACATGCCGTGAAAAGTCCTGACCTTCAGGCTGGGGGTATTTTAAGGAGCTGTGCATTGAAAGCTCTAAGGACTGATTGTGATTACCTTGAAGTGTCATTTAAATAATACATTAACGTACATCTATGGACACAAATTAGACCATGACCTACTGCTTCTTTGGGGAAATGAAAGACAACCAAAGACTGTCGTGTACTCTGAGTAGATCTTTATGGAGATATTTTATTTTATTCCACCTGTCAGGATAAAGCGTGCAGCAGACAGCTTTCCAGCTTACCAAATGTTACCAAGCCCTGAATGCTTCAGCCCCGACGCAATTATATCCTTTTTATTTATTGATAAACACCATATGCCTGTCATGTCAGAGATCAGAGAATGTCAAGGAGTCATTCATTAGACTTTACTACAAAGCCGCCCTCATTATTCTCCACTTCGTCCATTCTTGCTAAGCCTTCCCATCCAAGGAACTCTGTCTCTAGGGAACTCACAACAGGGTATTCAACTCACAGCATGTTTTGATAGTTGAGCCAATGGTAGTGTCACTAATCTGCAACTCCGTTCTTTCAATTACTTGCCCTGATGTAGAGGAGCCATGATTCAGGCGATTTAATATGAGAGAGAAAGAAAGAGAGGATAATAAAAATTATTTATAATTAATTTAGAAATATACAAATTGCCCTTGAAGCATGTCACTCTTCTTAATTATAGTTTACGCAGACTAAATTTAAAGTTGATTAGCATCCTCTGAGCTTACATGAGCTAGAGAGGAGGAAGTCCTGTTTAGTATGACAGATGGCAGGGTGATACTGTTTTGGGATTAAAAAGAAAATACATCGTAGCATTTCCATTAAAAAGGGGCTCTCTGCTTTTGGAATAAACTTACAGGAATGCATGAGATGATAATGGTGGTGATGATCATAAGAAAAATAGAACAATAATAATAACTAATAACTTACTGAGCTTTTAATACATGCCACATACTGCTCTAGGCACTCCACTTCTATTAATCCTCTTAATCCTCATATGAGGTCTGTATTATTATTAATCATATTTTATATATAAGGAAATTTATGTTCAGAGAACATAAGTAACTTGCTCATGGTCATATGGCCAATATGTAGCAGAGCAGGGATTTGAATCCAGATGGTCTGATTTCACATTTTTTACTTCTATATGATATTAGATCATATGCAAATGTCAACAGTAAAGGCTCTACAGGAATAGTTCCAACATTCAGGATTAAGGGGTACCCTTGAGGGTGGGAGGGAAACAATGTGAACTACTAGTAGAAAATTATGGACTACACAAAGAAATAAACCACTCTGAGCATGAGTCAGCAGATAAAAGTAGTACACCAGGTATCAGACATGAGGTAACTGGGAAAATGCTGTAAGTATATTTTAAATTATTACAGAGACAAAAAAAAAAAAGAACAAAGAATGTATTGCAAGATAGGATACTGTGAGTTAAAAGAGTGGATATATAAAAGAACCAAATAGAACTTAGGAAATGAAAAAACTTAAATAAAAACTCAATAGATAAATAAACAAGAGATCTGATACAGATGAGTGGAGAAGTAATGTTCCAGTGGATAGAGCTGAGGAATTTATCCAAAGAAAACAAGATGGGGGGGAGGGAGGAATTATTATAAAGAGGTAGAAAATGAGGGGTTAAGAAACATAGAAGATTAGTTCAGAGGGCCCAACATATGCCTAACAGGGGTTCCAAACTGAAGAAACAATATTTAAAGAGATAATAGATGGCTGTTTCTCAAATCAAAGCAAAACATGCACAGGCAAACCAAATTATGAACAGAATAAATAAAAATAAATCCACACCTAAACACATTGGAGTAAAACCACAGCTCTCCAAAGAAAAATAGAAAAGTTTGAAAATGGACAGATAAAAAAGATATGTAATGAAATGTTATAGTGGGACTCCCTCTGTCTCAATTTCTACATAGGCTACTTAAGATCAATAACAAAATAATAAGGATCAAATACTGTCTCCCTATGCAGGATGTG